TTTGTAAGGTTGGATTTAATATGTATTTCTTGAATACTTCGTATTTGACTTGATTTTGCTTCTTGAATGTTTCTAGAAATATTTAGGGGGACTTCCCTGGAGGTCCAGTGGTTAAGACTTCGCCTTCCAATGCAGGGGGTGCAGGTTCAATCCCTGGTCAGGGAACTAAGATCCCACATGCCTCATGGCCCAAAACATAAAACAGAAGCAACATTGTAACAAATTCAATAAAGACTTTAAGAATGGTCCACATTAAAAAAAAGAAAAGAAAAGAAAAGCAATCCTTTTAAAAAAAAAAAAAGAAAGAAATATTTAGGCTCTCTATTTCTTCTTGAATTATTTTTGGTGTTCTCTTATCTATATATATCTATTCAGTCTAAATTTTCTAATCTATTGACTTACAGTTGTTCATAATTTTATCTTAATGTCCCTGGCATCTTTTCTACTTTTTCATTCCAGATATTGTTCATTTCTGTCATCATCTCTTTTTGAAACCATCTTACTCATGATTTAATTAAATATATTTTCAGAAAATTACCTTTTGGCTTTGTTGATTTTTTTTCCATTTTATTAACGTCTGTACCTTATTTCATTTCTTATATTTTCTTTGATTTTATTCTGTTCTTCTTTTTAAAATCTTCTTAAGATGAATGCTTGCTTCTTCTAAGTTCCTCCATAAGTACTAATTTAAGTGCATCCTACAACTTGTCCCATGTGATATTTGCCTTATTGTTTGGTTCTGAATAATATTCATTTAAAAATAATATTTATTTATTTGGTTGTGCCAGGTCTTAGTTGTGGCAGGCGGGCTCCTTAGTTGTGGCATGCATGTGGAATCTAGTTCCCTGAGCAGGGATCCAACCCAGGCCCCAGGCCCCCTGCACTGGGAGCGAGTGCGCCACCACTGCGCCACCAGGGAAGACCCCTGAATAATATTCTTTTTTTATATGATTACTTTCTGATCTCCTGGGTTATTTCCAAACATATAGGGTTTTCTAATTATCTTTTTGTTATTGATTTATAGCTTAAATATTTGTGATTAGAGAGCATGGGCTTTTAAAAAATTACTTATATGTACGTTCCACCCAACTTTTTGTGTTGAAATATTTCTGTCTTGAATGTTGCTTGAATAGTAAGTATAATGAATACACTTAGATTCATCAGTTGACATCTTGCTACATTTGTCTGTTGTCTGTCTGCACCTCTCTCTCTCTCTGCCCCTTCCCACCCCGCTTCCTCTCTTTTCTTGTCCCCACCCCCATCATTGGAGAGTTTCTTGTGGATATCCTGAGAGAATATACTATTTTTATTATTTAAATTCTTTGAAAATTGTTGAGACTTATCCCTTAATATATGGTCGAGTTTTCTAAATATTTCATGTGTGCTTAAAAACATGTGTTTTATAGTTGTTTGGTGAAGTTTTATATGTCTATTTTTATATGTGTCTAGTTTGTTAACTATGCTGTTGAAGTCATTATATCCCTTTTTATTTTTTTTTCTATTAAAAATCTCCCTGAGTGTGGATTTGTCTGTTTCTCCTGTAGTCTGTCAATTTTTGCTTTATACATTTTGAGGCTCTGTTATGATTAGATACATATAATTTTTTAAATTGCTATATCTTTCCTGGTAAATTGAGTGTTTTATCCTTATGAGATGACTCTATCTCTTACAAGGCTTTTTGCCTTAGAGTCTAATCTTGCCTAATATTAATAGATCTATATTGGTCTTTAAAAAAAATAAGGGTTTCCCTGAGAAATATTTTTCTAACTTTTTTACTTTCAACCTTTATATATTTGCCTTTTGGCTGGAGCATTAAACTCATTTAATTTAATTAGTTTATTCATAGCTGAATCCATGTCTTAACTTTATATCTTATTTTGTTCTGCTTATTCAGTGTTTATTTTCCTCTCCTTTCTTGTCATCTTTTAGATTCATTATTTTTTCCTCATTTCATGTTTGTTTGTTTGTTTTTGTCAGCTAGTTGTTTTTTTTTTTTTTGCAGTACGCGGGCCTCTCACTGTTGTGGCCTTTCCCGTTTCGGAGCCCAGGCTCCCGGCCGCCCCGCGGCATGTGGGATCTTCCCGGACCGGGGCACGAACCCGTGTTCCCTGCGTCGGCAGGCGGACTCTCAACCACTGCGCCACCAGGGAAGCCCTGTCAGTTAGTTTTAAAGTCAAACTCAGTTTCTGTCTAAATTCTCAAAGTTAACTTATCAGAGGTAAATATCAAACACAGAGAAAGGAGTCGTCAATTCTACATGGATGGGTCAAGGTAGTCTCCCCAAAGAACTCTAAAAAATATTTTTAAGATGTAAAAGTTATCTGTAATACAAGTTCAAATATTACAGAAGTAAACGGTTGCCTTCCCTTCCCGCATCACTTTGTGTCCTTTTAGAACCTTTTCATATGGGTTTCTAGGCTGGTGCTTTAAAAAAATGTATATGCATTCGCTGCAACTTGTTGTTTTTACCTCATAATATATCTTAGACATCTTTCCATGTCAATACATATAGATGTATGTTATTTTTAAGAATTAAGATGTATAGATGTTATTTTTAAGAATTATATAATATTGCTATAAATGGATGAATCATAGTTTATTTAAGCATTTTCCTTTTGACGAGAAATTTACACTGATGTCAGTTTTTTTCATTATTAAAAATAGTGCTGCAGGGAATTCCCTGGTGGTCCAGTGGTTAGGACTCTGTGCTTCCATTGCATGGGGCATGGGTTCGATCCCTGGTTGGGGAGCTAAGATCCCGCAAGCCACACGTTGCTGCCAAAAAAAAAAAAAAAAATAGTGCTGCAGTGAACATCATTGTACATAAATCTTTGGTACCCCTTCTGTAGGATAGATTCTTTAAAGTGGAATTGCTGGCTCAAATGGAGTATATATTAAGTTTTTTCATTAAAAAAATTTAAGGTAGTGATTATTTTATAATGTATAAAAATATTGAATCACTATGTTGTACACGTGAAACTAAAAAAAAAAGAATTTAGGTAACAAGGCATCTAGAGTAGTCAAAATCATGGAAACAGAAACAGTGGTGATGTTAGGGGCTGGGGAGGGAGAAATGGGGAGTTGTTGTTCAGTGAATATAGAGTTTCAGGTTGTTTTTTTTTGTTTTGTTTTGTTTTATTTGTTTATTTTTTGGCTGTGTTAGGTCTTCGTTGCTACACACAGGCTTTCTCTAGCGGGTCCTACTCTTTGTTGCAGTGTGTGGGCTTCTCATCGTGGTGGCTTCTCTTGTTGCGGAGCATGGACTCTAGGCGTGTGGGCTTCAGTAGTTGTGTCTCGCAGGCTCTAGAGTGCAGGCTCAGTAGTTGTGGTGCACAGGCTTAGTTGCTCCGCAGCATGTGGGATCTTCCCAGACCAGGGCTCGAACTCATGTCCCCTGCATTGGCAGGCGTGTTCTTAACCACTGTGCCACCAGGGAAGCCCTAGAGTTGCAGTTTTACAAGATGAAACATTTCTACAGATCTGTACAACAACATGAATATAGTTAATACTACCTAACCGTACACTTAAAAATGGTTAAGAAGGTAAGTTTGTATTATGAGTTTCTTACCACAATTTTTTTAAATTAAAAAAAAGAATTTAGGTAACTGTAAGGAGTTTGGTATGATTGGAACCTATTTGGGAGAGCTGAGATAGATGATGGGATCATAAAGGGCCCTATAAGCCAGTTTCAGCAGCCAGAACTTTATTCCTTAGACAGTAGGGACATTTGAAGGATTTCAAACAAGGAAACAAATTGAGCGTCTTTGTGCTTTAGAATATTCACTCAGGCACAAAGCAGAGGATCCACTAGGGCTGGAATGAGAGAGGGTGGAGGGTAGAATAGAGGCAGGGAGATCAGTTAGACTTGAAGTAATCTTGAATTAACGTAGTAGTGAGCAGAAGGGTAAATTAGAGAGCTGTTAGTATTGAATAGAATGAAATGACCAGTGGGAGGGGCAAAGATGTGGGAGGAGTCAAGAATAACTCCAGGTTTCAAATAGGTTGGGTGTTTCAGTGGAGAGTGGTGCCATTAACTAAGGCAAGAAATATAATAGGAAAAGGTTTGAGGGTAGAAAAACAAATGAGCTCAATTTTGGATGTGTTCTATTTGAGGCATATACAGTAGGTTTCTGGGTATATGGGCTTAAAGCTTAGAAGAAAGGTCCAGGCTAAAGAGAGAGATTTAGAATTTTAAGGTATAAACGGTAGCAAAAAACATGGCCTAAATGCTAGACATTTGCTCTACACAGGTAAAAGCATCAGTGACCCAGAATGGTAGCATGTGGTCAAAAAGAAAACTGAAGACAGAACTCAAGGAAGCATTGTGCCTTGATGGGCAGTTGGAGGAGGAGCAGTATTAGCTGAGACTGAAGAGCAGTTGGGTGGAATGAGATCGCGTGGCTGGTGGTATCACAGGAGTGAAGGGGAAAATGGTTTTAGAAGGAAAAACTGATGTAGGCGGCAGGTGTTGCAGTGAGATGACGTAAGATAAAGACTGAGAAATGACCACTGCGGGATTTAGAAATTAAGTTCTTTGCCATGAAGGACTATGAGTGGAAGTCAGATTTCAGTGAGTTGAGGAAGGATTATGAGGTGAGAAAATAGAGACAATGATTCTGCTTTAGGAGGAGGGAACACAGACAGTTTTTGAAAGCTCCCTGGGTTTTAGGTGGTACACCAGGAATATTGCACGTGTCACCTCAGACACGTGTAACACATTTGATTGTTCTACCTAACTTTTCTTTTGTCCAAAAAAAAAGATATTTCTATTGTCCAAAGTCATTTTTACTTTTGTGTACATATAAGGTGTGCGCACCTCATGGTTTAATAAGGAAAGGAAACCTCTTTCACCCCTTGTGGCAAAATTCTTGTTTCTTTATCTCTTAGGCATATGAGGTAACGTTGGTACGTGGATTTTTTGGTCTACCTTATATCCTCCATCCTCTTCTAAGCCCAGATAGAACCGATCTGACAATGACCCTGCCTTCCCTTACTCCCAGGCCCGGTTTGAAAGCCAGCGGATCCAGATGGAGTCGGAGCTGGCCATGCAGCTGGAGCAGCGGGTGACAGAGAGGCTGGCGCAGGCTCAGGAGAGCAGCCTGCGTCAAGCAGCCTCCCTGAGGGAGCATCACAGGTACGTGGAGCTCACTGGCTGCTACCTCTCCCCAGCCGCAGCAGGTGGTGTCGGGGCCCGGTCCAGACCCTCTCAGATCTCTTTACCATCTTCCAACACACTGGCTGCTGTCAGTCTCTTGGTGGGAGAGCTGCCTTCAAGGTTCACAGGGAGAGCCAGCGTGCTTGGGGATTTTCCATTGTCACCCCATAGGAGGTAGCACTTAACCAATAACTGATGGCCACAGGAATGTACGTTTCCAGCTCCCTTGCCCCTGGTGGGCACAGTGGTGAGCTTCGACCTGCAACATTTTCAGAGCCGCCCTGGAGGATTGAGCCTCCTCCCCACCTCAGCCCTAGTCCCCTACCAGTTTTTTTCTAGAAATGCTTCTTAAATGAACCACTTTCCCATAAATCCTCATCTCAGTCTCTGCTTCTGGGGAGCCCATCCTAAGATACCAGCTGTCCTCTTTCCTGAATGCGCCTGTGCCACGGCTGGGCTGGCTGGCTCTCTCTCACGTGCACGCGTTCTGGCTTTTTCTTATTTGATTAGTTCTTCTGTCTCAAGATTCAGTCCTCTTTTCTCACCTGTGTCCTCCCAGGAAGCAGCTGCAGGAGCTAAATGGACAGCACCAGCAGGAGTTGTCCACTCAGTTGGCTCAGTTCAAGGTGGAAATGGCAGAACGGGAGGAGAGGCAGCAGCAGGTGGCCCAGGACTATGAGCTCAGGTGCCGGCCCCTGGTCTCGCTGTTAGGCCGCGGTCCCAGAGGGAGTGGTGAAGGGCCGCTTCCTCTGTAGCCCTGGCCTCTCCCGCACTGGCCCCAGCGCCTTTCACAATTTCACATGTTCCATATTCCCTTCTGGCTCTTCCTATTCTCCGAGTCCCTGCTTTTGTAAAGGGCCGACATCGCCTCTCGCGTCTTGCCTTCAGACTGGCCCGGGAGCAGGCGCGAGCGCGGGAGCTGCAGAGTGGGAGGCAGCGGCTGCAGGAGCAGCGGGCGGAGCTGCTGGAGCGGCTGCAGGCCATGCTGCAGGCCCACTGGGAGGAGGCAAGCCACCTGCTCAGCACTGCCGCCCTGCCGCCTAGTCCCCCGGTATGCTGCGCAGAATTGTGTTTCAACCCCTTCTTTGGAAATCTAGCTCCCTCCCAAGGGCGGTCCATAGTTCACCCCAATGTTGGCATCTCCTACCTCCTTCTTTTAATTATTAAATGTTTATTATTAGCTAAAATCTTTTTTGGAATAGATGATGACATGCACATGGTAAAAAAAAAAAAAAATCCATACTGTTCAAAAAGATATACGGTGAAAAGTAATCTCCATCCCATCCCTGCACCTCAGTCTCCCGGTTCCTCCCCCCAGGAGCAGCAGCTGTTACTGGTGTCTCGAGTGCTGCCCCCAAACAGTAGCCTTCTGTACACAGTTTTGTGACTTTTTACTTAACCAAGTGCTTATTGGTGGACGTTAAAGTTGTTTCCTATATTTTGCTTCTACAAACAGTGCTGCAAAAAATATCATTAATATATGTCTTCGTGCAAGTATATCTATAAAATTTCTAGAAATGGAATTGTAAGTTCAAAAATAAGCATTTTAAAATTTGATAGTAATTTGATAAATGTTCCCCAACCTCCTTTTAAGGACGTTCTACTAATTTGTAATCTTATTAAAAAGTGTCTGTGCCATGTCTCATCTCTTTAAATGCACCCTCTCTTGTGCCCAGGTTCCTCCTGCCGGCCCCTCCAGCCCTGGGCCACAGGAACCGGAGAAGGGGGAGAGGAGCATCTGGACTGTGCCCTCCGTGGCAGTGGCCCTAAAGCCCGTATTGCAGCAGAGCCGGGAAGCACAGGAAGAGCCGCCTGGGGTGCTGCCACCTGTTCTCTGCAGCCCCTCCCCAGATCTTAGCCTCCTGCTGGGCCCCACTTTCCAGAGCCAGCATTCCTTCCAGCCCCTGGAGCCAAAGCCGGATCTCACTTCATCCTCAGGTGACTGGGGACAGGAATCACTGGGGTTCTCCTTACCCACACGGATTGGCTCCCTCTTAACCTAGCTTCCTTTCTGTCTGGGACTTAAGCATTTCGTTTCCCAGATGACTTAGTGTCCATAAATTGCAAGGAGCAGAAATCCACTCCAGTTTGTTCAAATAAAGGGAGTGAGGCTCATGGAAATGTGATGTATCTGTGCTTAATGAGAACCGGGGTTGGTTCAGCGGCGCTGCCAGAAGCTGGGCAGCTGTTCCTCGTCTCTTGGGGCCTGCGTGGGCTCTGGACTCTGCCTCCCCGGCATCTGCTCCTTCCTCTTGGTCGACCAGCCCTCTCTCTCCCTCAGGTTCTTGCTCTCACAAGTTTGGTTTGCACGTGAGTTGAGCAGCCATGACACTGACTCCAGAAAGACTCTAGACAACCTTACAGAGACATTGGTGCCTCTGTTTCTTAGGTCCAGTTTAAAGAGAGGCGATCTGATGAGTTGGTAACCGTCCCTTGGATCGGCTGACCTTGAGTGGTGGCCACGCCTGGTTCAGTCAGCTGTGACTTGTGGGGATGACGGTGCTCTGTGTGGTGTAAATGTGACAACCCAGGCAGAATTAAGAATGAGGGCATGTTCTGGTGAAGGAGCCGGAACATGTCTGTTGATCTTAAACCATTCTGTGCTGCGGTGGTATTTATTTATTCAGCAGCCTAGTACCATAGCTTTCCCCTTCTGTCTACACTTCTGTCTTAGAATTCAGCTGTACCGACTCTCAGTTGCCTTCAGTTCTTCCCTCTCCAGCTGTTTTCCACCGTGACCAGCTTCTCCTGGCTGTGCTGCCCCTGTTATATTTAATAGGCCCCTTCCTTCCTGGCCTGTGGTGAGCTGATTTGTGGAGAAACCCCTCCCCTACAGCACACGCCCCTGTTTCACTTTACAGCTGAGGCCTTCTCTGCAGCTGGGACCTTCCATCCCGATCACAGGGCAGAGCGGCCATTCCCTGAGGAAGATCCAGGGTCCGACAGGGATGGCTTCCTGAAGCAAGGGCTGCCGCCCCCTTCCCAGCTGCAGGGCCTCAAGCATTTTTTGCACCAGGTAAGAGGGCCCACCCGTCCCACCTTGTTTTCTCCTCTCCCTCCTCATTTTCTCTTTCTACTCTGGGAGACTAGGATTCTGACTTCATCCGCCTTTTAGGACTAAGACTTCGTCCCAGCTTCTGCCTCTCCCAGTTGCAGTAGTTCCTTCTGGAACTTAGGTGACCAGCCCCAGCTCTTACCTCCCCAGTTGCTGCTTCCCGCAGACACTGAGGTCTCTTTCTTCAGGGGTCCTCAGGGGACCTTACTGTCTTGTCCCCACAGCTGCTGGAGACAGCGCCCCAGAGCAACGAGAACCCCCCCAACGACCTGCTGCCCCCTAAGTCTGGTGAGCACCACCTCTGAAGAAGGTTGGGGCCAGGCCTGGAGGAGGTGGGAGATCTGGTTCCCAGGCATATGGGTCTTTAGGAGCTGGCAAAAGTGACGAAGCCCCACGGAGGCTAAGGTGGCAGGATTCCTTGGATTTTGCCCCATTTCCTGATTTGAATCTCTTTCCTTTGCTAGGTCCTCTGACTGCCCCATCTTGGGAGGAAGCCCCTCAGGCGCCACGCCTCCCACCCCCGGTCCATAAAACTAAAGTGCCCTTAGCCATGGCGTCCAGTCTTTTCCGGGTCCATGATCTTCCCTCGGCCCATTCACAGAGCGGCGGTTCCACCGATGGCTGCCCAGAGAGAGGTAAGCAGGTCATGGTTTACCGGCAGATAAAACGGGTAGGTCTCGAGTGTGGAGCTGGTACTTGGAACTGAAGACCTGTCTGGACTCCGAGAGCTGGGATAGGGTTGGGGGAGGGCCTAGGATGATGACCATTACTGATGTGTCTCTCAGGTGGAGATGGGCTCGCACCCTCGAGGCAGCTGATGGAGGTGTCTCAGCTGTTACGACTGTACCAAGCTCGGGGCTGGGGGGCACTGCCTGCCGAGGATCTGCTGCTTTACCTGAAGAGGCTGGAACACAGCGGGTACCAGCCTGGGAGGGAAGGGTGGAGGGACTAGGTGGATGGAATCTGGATTGTGGGCAGGAAGAGTGGAGTGTGCGCATCGTCCTTTGAGTAGCAGCTTCCGTCCTTTTCTGGGGAAGAAGTGAGGGTGAGATGTAGATCGGAGTCTCCTCCAGCTCTCACTCCTCCGCACCTGTCTTTTGTCTCTACTTTTCTGTTTGTCTGTTTTTTGTTTTTTTTTTCACTTCTTAAAAAAAAAAATCTCTTCTCCATGTTTTTCTACCTTAGTTTTTTCCTCTTTACCCTGAAGCTCAGAACTGAGAGTCCTGGGATTGTGACAATCTAGTATAACTCAGTATTTGGTTCCACCAGTGTTTCCTCCTGTTTGATCCCGGCCCGGGTCTGTCTTGTTTGTTCTTATTCTTAAGAGACAGAAATGGGGAGTAGTTCTTCCACCCCGTGTGGGGAGAATCGGGGGAACAGCTGCCCATCCTCATCCCTTGATTTGTATGGCAGGACTGACAGCCGAGGGGATAATGCCCCCAGAAGGAACACAGACTCCCGCTTGGGTGACATGCCCCGGAAAGAGGTGAGGGAAGGTTGGGCGGGGGCGAGGGGCTGGGGGCTCTCACTGGCTCGTCCCTCGCCCTCTGCACACCCGCCAGCTGGCTCTGTCCTCTGTCGCCCAACCCCTCCGATCCTGGGTCCCGTTTTCTGTAGCGTGGCCCTTCCCCTTTGCTGACACACGATGCCGTTCCTCAGTGGCAGGGGGGCGGTTGAGAGGACGCGACACTGACTTTTTTTTCTCCTTTCCCTCAACTCTCAGATCCCCTCCCAGGCTCTGCCTCGCCGCCTCGCTACAGCCCCTAAGACTGAAAGACCTCCAGCTCGGAAGAAGAGTGGGCAGCCGGCCCCTGGCAGCGTGAGGAGTCGGGGGGGGATCTGGAGATAAGTCCCTGGCCTTTCTCTTCTTTGGTCTCTCATTTTTATTATTATTATTTTAATAAATCTCGGTAGTCTGTATTAGAGTTTCTGACTCATAGGAATTTGGAAAATGGAGGATTTATAGGAAACCACTTTGTGAAGAAACCTCATTGTTCTATTTGAGTATGGGTTTTTTTGTTTTTTGGGGTTTTTTTTGAGTATGTTTTTTTATATGTTTCTATTTTATATTCTGTGGAAAAAGACACGAGTGCTTTGAAAGAAAACAGTCTGTGGCTAAGTTTCAGAAGCATTAGTGAGCTAAAGCCCGGTGTTGCAAGAGTAAAACCCACAGAGTGATTAGCTCTGGTCAGTAGTGGAATTATGGATGATTCTTATTTTCTTCTTTATACATTTCTGTATTTTCCAGCTGTTCTAAAACAAGTATATATTACTTAATAATCAGAAAAACACTTTCAATAAAAGAATAATTTATTGTATAGAGAGTTCCAGTAAAAATTTGATTTTTGGGGAGACAGTTTTGTGTTTAAGGAGCAGATAATTTAATTCTTTCAGTTGGCGCTAGTAGGTTTCTGATGGACAGATTCTGCTCCAGCCAGGCCACATGTTATGGCTGTAATCATCACTCTTATGGCTTTGAAACGTGTATAAAAGACTAGAATGCTGGCAAGGAAAAACAGCCATGATTGTGAAAACTTTCATCCTAATACTCACCAAAATGAACAAAGAGAAACAATATTAGAGAAGAAAATGACAATAGTGTGAAAGACCCCAACTTCGTAGTACAAATGCAGAAAAGCCCGTAGTACACTTTAGATTAAACTGAAGGATGGTACCTTGGGACCCACACACAGCTTTCCCGCTCTGGAGCACAGTGCGGGGCGGGGATGATGGTAGATGTGATTCTTAGGGCCTGGTCCTAGGTGGGTGTTTGAGGGACAGTTTACTAGATTCTGTGAGGAGAGTGGGGTCATTCTATGTGCCCTGAATTATTTGGTTAGCTCCAGAATAGACTTGACAGGATATAGATTCACACGGTGTTTCATATTAAGAAATGTTTAGATCTTATAGTCAGCCCTCCATACCCACGGGTTCTGCATCTGTGCACTCAACCACCTGTGGATCAAAAATATTCGAGAAAAAAAAATTCCAGACAATTTCAAAAAGCAAAACTTGAATGTACTGCACACCAGCAACTAATATTTACATAGCATTTACATTGTTTTTATAACTAGATACATAGTATTTACATTATATGAGGTATTATAAGTAATCTAGAGATGATTTAAAGTGTACGGGAGGATGGGGACTTCCCTTGGTGGTCCAGTGGCTAAAACTCCGCGCTCCAGCGCAGGGGGCCCGGGTTTGATCCCTGGTTGGGGAACTAGGCCCCACATGCCGCAAGTAAGAGTTCGCAAGCCGCAACTAAAGATCCCGCCTGCCACAACAGGGACCGAAGATCCCGTGTGCCGCAACTAAGACCCAGCACAGCCAAGTAAATAAATAAATAATAAATAATTTAAAAATAAAGTGTACGGAAGGATATGCATAGATTATATGCAAACACTTCGCTGTTTTTTATATTGGACTTGAGGATCTGCGGATGTTGATATCTGCAGGGGTCCTGGAACCAACCTCCTACCCCAGATATCAAGGGAGCACTGTATTTCCTTCCACCTAAAAGTCACTTTCTAGCTCCTGGGGGAGGGAAAAGGAGGAGAAGATTAAAAAAAAAACATGAGCAGCAGGTGCGCAGGCTCTCTGGTCTGGCTCTGGGGACAGCTTGTCATCAGTCCTGCTCAGGACTTCTGGCAAAGAAACAGGAGTTGCACCAGCTCAGGGGACTTTTCAAGGCTAATCTCGTTACCCACCTATGGAAACATTTGCTTTTCTATTTTTCATCTCAAGTGCCTAGAATTATTTGACCAAACTCTGTGATTGATGGCATACTACCGTCTTTGGGAGGAAACGGTTTTATACAATTTTTAAAAACTGGTAAAATGAACGCCCAGTCTTACCTCATTATCTTTTGGATTCCAACCTGCCACCCTCAGTCAACATGCCCTGCGTTTTTCATGGCGTGAAGGACAGTGTGGAGAATATTTCCCAGCTCTCCAGAACAAAATCAGAGAAGGGCACAGTTGCTTACTTAACTATTTTGTGAGCTAGTTACAGTAAGACAACTTTGATTTTTTAAAACAGGTACCCATATTAAAAGTCTATTTCTTCACCAAAAAGCAGCAAGGAGTCTGGGGAACAGGAGAAAACCCAGTCAAGCAGCTCCCACTTTCTTCCTCCATAATCATCTTGGGAATGTTCTGAGAGGGGAAGAAAAAAAAATGAAAGATTTGGGGAGCTCCATAAAAGCCCACATGCAGAGAAGGTGGGTACAGCCTTTAAGCCCCGGCCTCATTTGGTGCAGACAGGGTGTGCTGTGGAATCTTGTCTCCTGAGAACTCCTGCAGCTGCTGCGGGTAGGGCTGCGGGTGGTTCTAGTGGTGGAATATGGGAAGGTGAAGGCTAAGCTGCTGTAACAGAGAACCCAGTGGCTTCTGTACAAGATTTACTTCCCTGGTGGTGGTCCAGAGCCGTCTCAGGTGCCTTCCATCTTGCTCTGCTGTCCCTAGATCACTGTTGTTATGTGTGCAGTTGAAGCAAGATCATTGCCATGTGGGACTCTCAGCTGGCAAGAAGGGGAAGGAGCCAAGTGCAATGTCTTAAGTCCCATGCTTGGAAATGCCACACGTCAATTTTGCTCATATATCGTTGGTAAGACCTTGGTCACATGGCCACATCTGACTGCAAGAAAGACTTGGAAAGGTAGCCTAGCTGGCTTCCATGTATACATAGATTACTCTGTTACTGTGTAAGGACTAAGAAAGAAGGAGAGAATGGATTTTGGTGGACAATTTGCAGTCTGCTTTACAGAGAGTGGGACCTCATTTAGAGAAACTGAAAAGTAATTGCTGGGACAACCCAGGGTCAGCAGTATTGACTGTGCAGATAATGAAAAACCACACTGGACATATGTAAAGTAGTCCAAGCTGCACAACTGGTCTAAATAGCCCCTACAGAACAGAATCAATGAAGGAAAAAGGAGAGAACTTAAATTCTAACCATTATTCTTTTTGAGAAAAAAAATATACTATGGAAAAAAAGTCAGAGAACAAGAGATTTGGGTTAAGAAAAAAAAAAAAACACACAAATAAGCAGAAGAGAATCTACTGGGAACCATTTATATTAATTAGAAGAAAAACAAGGAAATCTCCAAGCTTACAAAAAAGAGAAAAAATTTTAAGTTACGAGACAAAAGATTTAAAAAGCAAATAATAGATCCAGGAGACCAAATATCTAAAAGGAGAAAATATAGTAGTGGAGGAGTAGTGATAGGTAATAGAGAGTTCTGATTCCAAAAGGGTGGTCGACTAGATGATTCAAAGGGCTCTCCTTCTAAAACACAACTAGATCCCTTTATGACAAACACTTTTTAACGCATTTCTGGGTTTGCTGGAAAGTAAGGGAAATTGACCTTGTATTTCTAACAATAAGGTACATCTAGATAACTGACTGACTGACCTTGCTGCTAAAATACCTAAAAAAAAAAAAATTAGATTAAAAAATGTTTTTTAATAGGGATATATTTGGCGTACAACATCGTGTAAGTTTAAGGTGTACAACATGTTGGTTTGATACATGTATGATTGCCATTATAGTGTGACCCTCTATGGGGTCACATAATTATAACTTCTAGTGTTGGGATCAATTAAGCTCTAACCTTTTAGCAAGTTTAATGTTTATAATACAGTTTTGTTGTATATAATCACTATACTGCGTATTAGTCTCCAAGACTTATTTATCTACCAGTTGCAAGTTTTATCTTAACATCTCTCCCATTCCTCCACCCCTGGCCCCCTTGGTAACCACCATTTTACTCTGCTTTTCCAATTTCCAATACCATACAGTATTTGTCTCTGTCTGACTTATCTCACTTAGCATTTCCTCAACGTCCATCCAGGTTGTTGCAGATGGCAGAATTTCCTTTCTTCTCATGGCTGAATTCCATTGTGTGTGTGTGTGTGTGTGTGTGTGTGTGTGTGTACACACCCCACATCTTTTCTCATTCATCTGTTGGTGGGCACTTAGGTTGTTTACATATCTTGGCTATTGTGGATAGTGCTGCAGTAAACATGGGAGTGCATATGTCTCATCAATAACCTATTTTCATTTCCTTTGGGTATATACCCAGAAGTGAGACTGCCGGATCAATAGATAAAGAATATATATATATTTAAAATTACTTTATTGAAGTATAGTTGATTTACAATGTTGTGTTAATTTTTGCTGTACAGCAAAGTGATTCAGTTATATAACCATTCTTTTTCATATTCTTTTCCATTAGGGTTTATCACAGGATACTGAATATAGTTCCCTGTGCTATGCAGTAGGACCTTGTTGTTTATCCATTCTATATGTAATAGTTTGCATCTGCTAATCCCAAACTCCCAATCCATCCCTTCCCCACCACCTGCCTTGGCTGCCACAAGTCTGTTCTCCGTGTGAATCTGTTTTGTAGGTAAGTTCATTTGTGTCATATTTTAGATTCCACATATAAGTGATATCACATGGTATTTGTCTTTCTCTTTCTGACTTCACTTAATATGATGATCTCTAGGTCCATCCATGTTGCTGCACATGGTGTTATTTCATCCTTTTTTATGGCTGAGTAGTATTCCACAGTATATATGTACCACATCTTTATCTGTTCATCTGTCGATGGACATTTAGCTTGTTTCCATGTCTTGACTGTTGTGAATAGTGCTGCTGTGCACATAGGGGTGTGTGATATTTTTGAATTATAGTTTTGTCTGAATATATACCCAGGAGTGGGATTGCTGGATCATATGGGAACACTATTTTTAGTTTTTTGAGGACCCTCCATACTATTTTCCATAGTGGCTGCAGCAATTTATATTCTCACCAACAGTGTACAGGGTTCCCATTTCTCCACAC